TACAGGAGGACGCCCAAGTCCCCGTTGGTCGCTCCTGATGCCTAAGAGAGCGAGCCTCCAGCTCCAGGAGCAGTGAGCTGTCCAAGAGTTGTTGGAGAGGATTGCATGGGAGGGAAGACCTCCTGCCTTATTTAGGTTCACCCTCCCTCCATGGTTGAGGAAGAGATGCCAGCCTGACCCTCCATCTCCCCCTCCTGGGGTTTTTCAAAAATCATTTCTCTTAGGTTAGGCACATTATTCCATTGGAGATCATTTTTATTTCTCCCAAGGGGGGATGCCAAAAGAAATGGCCCTCTGCCTGGCTGTTTGTGCCCAGCCCTTGAGGCGTTGAGGTAGACTGCCACTGCAGCTGGAGGCTCGGGAGAGGCGGGCTTCGGTGCCTTCTGGGCTTTACAGGGCGGCGTGTGGATTATGGGTCAGAAAAGATGCCTTCCGCACAGGGAAGGGGGGGGAGAGAATAAATCTGAAGGATTTGCGAGCGCCGTGCGGTTGAAGTGGGAGATTGTCTCCCCTTTAAATCTTTCAGCTCTGCAAACAGGCAAGGCTTAACCGGGTCTTACTGCTGACTTAGTGGAGGGGACGGTCGGAGTAAAATTAGCATCGCTTTCTAGAACGCGGCCCGGGAGAAGACCTCGCTCCAGGATACGCCCGGTGGCTCGAACTCGTGATCCCAGCGGCCTTCGGTCTGGAGGACCCTAAGGTAAACTCTGCTGTTCCAATTCCGTGGCCGAATTCAACGTGGCGAGGATGGGGGGGCATAGGAAGAGTGTGGCTGCGACAGTCTTCATTGAAGCACACCTGTGCAGAACGCACCTGGCTTGCCGAGGGGCTGAGCATCTTTTACACCCTTTCTTGGGTGACTCTCCCGCCTGTCTCCCACCTGCCCTCACTTGAATCCGGAGAGGCATTGGTGGTGAGACAGGTGCCACCGAGGGAGGGGCGGGAGACAGGGATCTACGGTTATGCTCCCAGACCCTGGGTCACCTGCTGATGCTAGTGTCATGGCGTGGGACCCTAAAATCTCACCTTGCGGCCCAGGAGAGCATCTTCAGCCACCTCTGGGGCACCTCAGCCATGGCCTCCTTCCTTCGGATCCTAACCCATCCTGGAGAACAGGGATTCTTCAGCACTTCCCCCCCAAAAGTCTTTGGGGTTTCGAAAGGCACAGCCAGGAGGGTGTCGGGCATCGGAGAAGGGACCACCAGGCAGCCGGCTTCTCCCAAGGAAGGAGCGACGGGCTCCAGAGAGCTTGCTGGTCCCACGACCAGGGCCTAAATGGAGAGGGTCAGGTCACTTCCGTACGCCATGAAAAAGTGTGGGTTTAAATTCACAAAGCCGTAAAGCTGCCTTCCTTCCCAATGAGTAGCATCATAAACGGAGGCACAGATTTTTGCACCAGCTCTGTGACCGTGGCATAAAAATAAGGGTCTCTTTGGGGTCTGGCCGGACCGGCTGCTCTGAGCAGGGCTAAAGACAGCGTTGGCCTCTTGCGTATTTCAGATAAAAGAAACCGACTTTTCCGGCTGCTTCCTGGTCTATTTTCCTGGCTGGTCCTGATGGTATTTCTACTGTTTCAGCATCTTCAGATCAAAGTTGCCTCATTTTATTGCCGTGACAAAAATGAACGCTTCCACTGCTTTCTGTATACCGTGAAAGATGGCTGTGTATAACATTGTTTTAAATTAAATTTGGCATTCGGTTTGACATTCGGCGTATTAGGAATGAAGCAGACAGAAGATCTCTCTGTCTCTCTTTGTGTTGTAGAAAAGAGAGAGTTGGGCAGCAGGCCAGCAGATAACTGAAGCCTGCTGAGATGTGGGTAAACACTGGGAAGTAAGTTCGTTACCCTAATTCCAGTCTTGTCTCTCTGCCAGGCGAAGGGGCTGCCTTCTCTGCTGCAGGATATAATATGGGGAAGCGACAGAGCAAACCGAGGTGTAACTCTTCCAAGTACAGGTAAGGGAAGAGCGTGCAGGGGAACCCATCTTATCCGTTTTTATTATGTGTGTGATAAGCCACCGGATCATGTTGGACTTACGATGACCCCGGCGAAGTTTTAAAGGTCCGTGAGACAGTCCGCACGTGGTCTGACCGTGGCCACCCTCCCGTGGGTTTTCCTGAGCTGTTTGAACCCGGAGAGCGAGCGATTTGTGCGGGAAGGCCACGTGAGCCCCCTTCTTGGGCAGGTCCGGTCTTGGGTGGCCTCTCCCGTGGAAAGGACCCCGGGCGCCCACGGTTGAAGGTTGCCTCTTCCAACCTCAGCGGAGACACATCAGGACGAGGCTGCACAGCTCCATGTGGTTTTAGGATGGAACCTATTTGCACAGCCAAAGGGACGGACAACAGAGGCTCCCCCAGATTTGGGGGATGATGGGAACATAAAGAGAAGGTTTGTTTTGCCAAGGGACGTTCAGGGGCTGGGGCAGTGAACCTGTGCCCGGAGGGGGGCATCTGGGAGTCACGATAGTGGACGCGCCCTATCCATGCCAGATCCTCACTCTTCCCCTTCTCTTTCGGCTCTCCCGGGCTAACAGGGAGGAAGAAACCAAGTGCCCTTCTCTTCCCGAGGCGGCTCTGCGGGACCAGCCGGCTCACACGGATGCCGTGGCCTCCGTGGCCTCCCTGGCCCACGACCAGTGCGTGTCAGGCGGAAAAGACAAGGTAAGGGCGGGAGCGGCCATCTGTCTCCTGGGGTTGCTCCAATACAGCCAAGCGGGAGAGCCGGAGAAGTGGATCGGCAGAGGCGTCCCCATCCCGGAGGGCAAACCGCAGTTCCCCGAAATCTTTGGGGAATTCTGTCTGCAGCAGTTGGTGTGAAGGCCTTTAGAGCCAGTCCCTATGTCCCAAACGCTGGGAGGGGGCTAGGCCCCCATGTCATTCCTGCTAGTTCTCAATCAGCTTCTTCATCAACAAAGTCCCAAAAAGGAGGAGAAGCCGGAAAGGGGGTAGAGAAGCCCGCTCAGGGCGGCCATGAATGGGGACACCGTTACTTTCTGTGTTTTCGTGCGTGTGCAAAACATTCAGTTCAGGTGCTTTTGATATTTCTTTATGCAGTCGATCTGTGGGTTATTTACCGTGAGAACAATTCTTATTTTTCCCTCTTCTGCGCCGACCCCGTGCTATTCTCCGACATCTCTTTTTCGTAAGATTGTGGATGAAGGAGTTCGTTTTTATAAATGGAAAGGAAGCTGATGTTACCAAAACAGATTTGTCCGATCAACCTTCAGCAGTCCCCCAAAGTTTGCCCATCATTTTCTTTTCTCGCCTTCTTCCTTACAGGCTGTCGTTGTGTGTAACTGGCATCGTGGCAACGTGGTGAGGAGGTTCTGGGGCCACGAACACGAAGTGACGAAGGTAAACGTGCCTTTTAGGTGCGACAGAAGACCCTGATTCTCGTCCGTGCCAAAACAACAGGCCTGCCTAACGGAAAAGCTTTGTCCTGCCAGACTCCCCAGGGAAGCCTGAAATTCAGAAGAACTCGGGGAGCCCCCCAAAGGGAGAGCCACTGCCTTTGAATGCTGAACGGGGGTCCCCACCAGTTTCTCTGGACCCAAAAGAACCCCATTTGTTTCTTCATTTAAAATATTTTTACCCCGCCTTTCTCCTTGAAAAGGGCCCAAGGCGGCTGACATCCTTAAAATACATTATTTAAAGCCAGGAACAATATCTATAAAGAGGCAGCTGACAGCATTCAAAGACAGCATTAAAGCCAAAAGAATAAGTATGCAAATATTTAAAAGTTAAGAACGAACACCACTCTGAGAGATGGGAAACACACGTCGTACAAAAGACCCAGTCAGAGCTAAAGAGGCAGCTGACAGCATTCAAAGACAACATTAAAGCCTAAAGAATAAGTATATAAATATTTAAAAGGAACAAACGAACACCACTCCGAGAGATGGGAAACATGGGTCGTACGAAAGACCCAGTCAGAGTGGGAATGCATAGGAATCCACCTGAGAATCACACTCAGGGAGCCAGTTATTCAAAGGAAAGCTTGCCTGAAGAGAAAGGTCTTTGCCTGCTGGCAGAAAGACAGCCAAGATGGGGCCAGGCTGGCCTCCAGTGGGAGGGAGTTCCACAGTCTGGGAGCAGATGCAGAGAAGGCCCTCTCCCGGGTCCCCATCAGAAGCGCCTGTGAAGGTGATGGGTTGGAGAGAAAGCCTCTCCTGATGGTCAAGGCTGGGGGGGGGAAGCGACTCCCCTTTGCAGAGCCATCCGTGGGGAGAGACGGCAGTGCGAGGGCCTGTCTTCAGAGACACCCACACCCCTCCATGGACCACTTCTGGACCCCCGTGTTCCTCTCCTTCTCTGTCCAGGTCGGCTGCCTCGCTGAGCTTGGGTTCCTCTTCAGCGCCTCTCGGGACCGGACGGTGAAGATGTGGGGCTTGTCCAGCGGGGCGCTCGAGGAAGCCCGGTGCTTTTCCGGACACGAGCTGGTGGTCAGTGGCTTGGCTGTCAGCCCAGGTGAGAGGGCCCTTCTTGCAGAATTCCCACCCACAGCCCGGCTCGGCCACCGTCTTCTTTGCTCCCTCCCTCTCACTCGGCCCGTCTCTCTCTTCCCCCCCCCATCTTTCGCACCCAAAGCTTTCCCTCGGCTCTGCACAGGATCCCGGGACAACAGCGTGTGCACGTGGGATCTGGAGACGGGGGCCTGTTTGCAGCGAGTGGCCATTTCCAGGAATGTGGTGAGAGCATTTTGGAAAGAGGAATGCCGGAAAACCCTTCTAACAGATGTCCCGGTTTTGATAGCTGAGTGGAACCTCTGTATTCTGAAGCAGTCTACCTCAAACTATCAAAGTTTGAAGAAAGATGTTCCTTTTGTCAGCAGAGGGTGGGTGGGGGCTTCCCCGACGCATCCGAATATTGCAGAAAGGTAGTCAATCCAAAGAGGAGTTTGGCCTAAGCCTATCCGCTTGGCTATTACTGAGAAGGCCACGTGGCTGCTAGCTGCTGTCAGTCCTGGGTTCGAATCCCCATTGCTAATATCTTTATTAGACCCTTATTCTTCTTTGTCTGCAGGTGACACATCTCTGCTGGGTTCCCGGGGAGCCGTACGTCACCCAGACATCAGAAGACAAAACCATTAGGTACCTGAGCAGTAGGCACAAATTTTGCATAGCTCCTGCAGGTCTCGTTAATGTCATTTTCTGAATGCCAAGCTTGGTCGTTTCTAAAGAAGTAGCTCATGTTAAGTCTCTCATGGTAAAAAAAAAAAAGGAAATTAAAGGAAAACAGCGCATTGCAGCAGTTTAAAAGTTAGTAAGTATGTTCATTTCCATTTCTTTCTCTTTTTTTCTTTCCTTTTTCTCCAATATAACGACTTGCAAGTTTTGCTTCTGAATCCAAACTTGGGGGACTTAAGTTTCACTGAGATTTTGTGCACACTTGAGAGCCACTCACCATGGGGTGGCAGGGCTCTGCTGCGTTGAATTTTTGGCCTCTGTGTTTCCACCCGGACGGGCCCGCTGAAGGTCTCAGAAAAGGGCAAACAAGAGTAGCGAAATGTCTTGGAATGACTTCAGCAAACGTCATGCTCCTCTTCATCCCGTTCTCTTGGTTGCAGAATCTGGGACACCCGAGAGTTACAGGTGGCTCACCTCTTCCCTGCCAAGAAGCAGATCCAGACGTCCTGTGACGTAAGCCCAGATGGGCGCTACTGCCTCAGCACCAGCAGCGGCTTTGGTCACGAGGGTGGAGAGGCTACGGTGAGCTCAGGCCTGTTAACACACACCTAAATGCTGCAGAGCAGCAAACTGCTAAAACTATGCCTTATAGAGAGGTGGTCACACTTGCCGATGATCAGTGAAGGCCATTGGGTGAGCAGCTCCTGGCTGCTGTTTGGCTTCATAATTCCCACAGAAGCAGTAAGGGTGTACTTAGCTGTTCCCACGTAGCTTATCCATGTTGGCTTTATTTTTATAAAATAAAGCATGACACTGTAATAGGTCACATTGTTCATCTGAGGTTGTATTTACCTATGGTCATTTTCAGCCCTGCTAAGGACCCGAAGATCTTTACGTATTATGTTCTGGTACATAAAACCACAGAATTCGAAGAGGGTGTGCTTTCTCTTTCACATGACTGTAAATCCCCAGGGTGGCAGTCAGACCTCTCTCCGCATTCCTGCAACTGCTAACAAAGGATTAAGTCATATAACGCTGAATGTTGTCACGTGGATGAAATGCACTCGTCCTGGATGAAATGCACTCGTCCTGGATGAAATGCACTCGTCCTGGATGAAATGCACTCGTCCTGGATGAAATGGTCATTTTCAGCCCTGCTAAGGACCCGGTGATCTTTATTATGTTCTGATACGTAAAACCACAGAATTCAAAGAGGGTGTATTTTCTCTTTCAAATGACTGTAAATCCCCAGGGTGGCGGACAGACCTCTCTCGGTGCTGCCCCCAACGTCCAAAGTCCAGGAAAGAAGAGTGGAGGAGGAAAGGCCAAGGGGTTGGAGGGTGTCCGAAGAAAGCAACTCTTTACTACTCAACTGGGGGCCACATTTCCTAGGTTGGAGGTCCTGCTTGCCTCCAGGGCTTGCGGGCCACACCTCGCCCGGAGCCATGAGACAGGAGAATGCCCGGCTGGCAGCTGGTTGACCTCGGTGTTTCTCCTTTCCAGCTCTGGGACCTCCGACAAGTGAAGGGCAGGGTCCGCGAATTCTGGGGTCATGCGCAGACGGCATCATCCTGCATCTTTCTCCCACAAGGCCTCGCCAGCTTCCCTGAAATAGTCACCGCCTCGCACGACGGCACGGTCAAAGTGTGGAGCCTGGAGACTGGAGGTAGAAGAATATGGGTCGGTGGCAGAGGCTGCTTATATCTTGCCTCCAAAGGGAGGAACAAGTCATCTAGATCAGACCTCAGACCCCTCTCATGGGGTGGCAAGACAGGGTGGCAGCCCTCCCCTACGAGTTAGCCTTCCATTTAATGGGGTCTGTCCTCAACATCTGGCTGTCAGAGGTAGGCTGCTCCTGTTGGTGGAAGTTCCATTGAGCTGCCACGCTTATTCTCCACCGATAATTTACTATTTGTTTTTATTCCTTGAAAATATTTTTCACCTGTTCTCTTAACAGCCTGCCTGTCCACCGCCTTCCTCGATGGGGCTCTGTCTTCTCTGGCGGCGTGTGGAAAAGCCACTTTCCTCTGCGGCAGCTCCACGCCGTGGATCCACTTGATGAGAGTCCGCTCGGCCAAGGGACCAGAACTCCAGCAAGTGGCAAAGTTCTGAGCGCCGGACGGTCGCCTCTGGAGGAGAAAAACACAACCCAGCTAAGGAGGGAATGGACCAAACGGGGAGAAACAGCCATGACGGCCCAAGTGAGCCTTTTAGCCAAGCGGGGCAAGGCCGGTTTAGCAGCAGCTGGCCCAGAGCCGGAAACCTGGGGTCCCCCCACCTGGCCGAGGCAGAGTTTTTAAGGCAACGAGAATGAAATGAAGGAGGGAGGAGGCGCGTAGGCTCCCCATCCCCTGATCTTCAGGCTGCCAACAGATGACTGGACAATTAAATAACCTTCCAAGTTTAATGAACTAAAGTATAGGAAAAGAAGCCCCCATCCTCCCTTGGCCAGTACAATCCATGAAAAGTACCCAGTTCAGGACCAGCTACCAAAACCAACGACCTGTGTGCAATTTTTAGATATGCATTAGTGCTTTGACTGGATTTTTTAAAAGTACTACGTACATGTGTTTTCCATTTTTTGTGTTTCCCATTGCTCAGAGTGGCATTTTGTTTTTTTAAATATATATATATATATATTTGTATACTTCTCGTTCTGCGCTTTCACGTTGCCTTTTAAAGATGCAAGATGCCTCTTTGTACTCCTTATTTATTTAGCATTTGATTTCTACCCCGCCCCTCTATTTCGCTTTTACCTATACAGTAATCATTTAAAGTACAAAAATAAATTAAATAATAAATAAGAATAGTAAAATATCAATTACACCTATGTAGTATGACAAATTACAAACACCCACTAGCTAAAAAAAACCCTAAAATCAAAATTACGAGAGGCTGCTAAAGGGGGGGGGAGAGAACCAGGAGAACCAATTAAAAAAGCAGTTTAGATGAGCATCAACCAAAGATTAGTAGGCAGGCCCTCCGAGATGAAACCCTAGAGTAGACATTCCAGGACGCTCTAGCATTCAGCGCTCGGAGGGCCGGACTCAAACGCCCCGTCTCTCTGGCTTGAGGGGACTTGGAGTGGGCGGGGCTACGACGGAGGAGGTTTCCTCCTATGAATGGCCGGGAGAGGCCAACCCGGAAGCGTTGCTTGGCAACCCCGCGTGGAGGGCGAGAAAGAGGCCTAGTCTCTTTGTCGGCCTCCCTCCCTTCTTTTTTCTGTGTTGTGTTCAGAGAGCCTCTGCCCATGCACAGAGATCCAGTTCTTAAACTCACCGTTTTTGGGAATAAGATATTAAACAAAGCAGGGAATGGGGTTGTTAGAGGAGAGCTTTATGTGATACCAGGAAAAAAAAGCAGATTTACCATCAGTCCCAGGAATGTTTTAGTACAAGGAGTCCACCTGGCGAAATGGTAGCCAAGCTCACCCATGTGGCTACTGACTCTGCTGGCCAAGTGTTGCTAAACAGTAGCTCTGTCTGTCCAAAGTCCTGACCTAGCAGCCCCTTGTCTTTTAAATTATACTTTCAAAAAGGGGGGGGGAGTATTAAAAATGGGATGGTTACTGTTTTAAATGGCTGAATTTCAAGCTTAAGAAGCCATCTTCTTCAGGGGCCGAACCAGAATCCCACCCTGAGAAAGTAATTTACATGCCATGAAAGCTCACAGCGAAGGTAGACTGTCGGGCAAGAAATTGAAGGGAAGGCAAACTGCCGCCTGAAATATCTTTTGCACCAGCCACAAATTTTCTGCCATGCTGGGAAACCCTCTGCATGAAATAGATAATAGCTAGTGGCACTGTGGGGTCACGAAGAGTGGCACTGTGGGTTAAACCGCAGAAGCTTCTGTGCTGCAAGGTCGGAAGACCAAGCTGTCGTAAGATCAAATTCACACGACAGCTCCTGCCAACCTAACCATTTGAAAGCATGTAAAAATGCGAGTCGATAAATAAGGACCACCACGGTGGGAAGGTCACGGCGTTCCGTGTCTAGTTGCGCTGGCCACGTGACCATGGAAACTGTCTTCTGACAAAATGCTGGCTCTACGGCTTGGAGATGGAGATGAGCATCGCACCCTAGAGTTGGACACGACTGGACTCAATGTCAAGGGGAACCTTTACCTTACCATGAGAACGCCTTGGCCATGGGACAGCAATCAGACACATAAACGTTGGATTTCATACTCAAGAGACAATGGTCCTTCCGTCTCTAGTTGACCGGGAAACTCAAGAGCTGGTGGGATTGTCCAGGGACAGAATAGGACTTGGCTTTCTCCCTTTCATGGCCTTTTACTTCCCTTCCAGAAACATCCAGCACTTCACTTTTATTCCCCCCTGAAAAACCTTTCCATACCTATAGCAATAGCAAAACAACTCCTTTAATATCTCCTGTACTTTAAAAACCCAGTTAGAGTCACCCTAAGTGACCTGTGACTTGACGGCCCAACGTACACACCCGCAGCCTGTTTTACGGAAGGCGGTCCTCCGTTTGAATTCATCCTCCATGGGGATGGCTGTCCAGTCCAGCTCCGATAGAAAGATGGGGTGGCCCAAGGAGGCTACCGTGTTAATGAGCAGCCATGTTTGCACAGGTGTGCAAGAATGCTGAGTCATGCTTAGTCGTGGATAATGCAACATCTGCAGTGATTGGCTATATGCAAATATGTATATATAGGTGGAATTGCACTGAAGATGTATCCGGATCTCTTACTTGAATGTTACCCTGTACTGCTGTCCGTTGATGCTGCTGTACATACTGTACATATACTCTGGTGTCGGGAGAAGCTGCCTGATTGTGTGTAACATATTTGGACTACCTGGACCGGACAAGAGTCTGCTAATTTCCGTCAGTGCTACGCCAACAGCCTGCCTAGAGAACTGATTCAACGGCTGAAAAGTCCGGACTTTGATGTACATATACTCTGGTGTCGGGAGAAGCTACTGTGTAACTTATTTGGACTACCTGGACCGGACAAGACTCTGCTAATTTCCGCCAGTGCTGCGCCAACAGTCTGCCTAGAGAAGTGGTCCAACGGCTGAAAAGTCCGGACTTTGGCTCCCTTGATCTTGGCCTTGACAAGCCATAGCTGGAAAGCTTCCCAGCAACTGTGGGAGGGAGGAGGTGTGTGGTTGTGTGTGTGTGTTCCCTCAATGGACTTTGGAGAGAGGCGCTCTTTGTGCTGCTCAAGGCGGTAGAGCCACGAGTTCCAACAGCCGAAGGAGAGAATGCGGCCTTGCTTGGCAAAAGGTTGGCATCTGACGCTGCTTTTTTTTCTCCTGACTGGTGCATCGGAGGGTAAATGTGGCCTCTTCTCTTTCTCATTCAGAAAGCTTCCTTTTCAGACCGAGTTTCCCCTGAAGGGGCCCGAGGTTCCTTTCTTCGGCTCCGAACCTATGACCCTTTCTTGCTTTTTTCCCTCTTCCGGCTTTGTAGAGAGAGAGCTTCTAGGGGTTTGTTTGGGGGCAGCTTTACGAAGAGCTGTGCAAATTTCGCGGCTTCGCAAACAGCTTTGCAAATCAGCAGTAAAAGTGGCCCCTCGGAACGGTGATGTCTTCTGTGCTTCTCACAGGGGGAATGCGGCTCCTGGCCAAACGTTGCTTTCCAGATTCGCAGCCCTGTGGTTTTATAACGAGGCCCATTTAAAAAAAGAAAGAGAGGATGCATGGCTTAATGGTAATAAGTGAACAAAGAACTGTAAAAACCGGATACCAGGATTAAAATATTTCCTGGGCGTTTGGCACCCTTTGGAAAACATGGGCCATAAGAATAGCCACGAGGATATGGTATCTTGTTTCTACAAACTTTTGGGAGGTGCCTGAGAAACACGAAATTCTTCCTGTATACTTTTTATTTTACTCAAGGCTAGATTATAGATTACCGTATTTTTCGCACCATAAGACACACTTTTTTCCCACAAAACAGGGGTGTGGGAAGACTGTGCGTCTTATGGAGCGAAGGAAACAGATTATATTTTCCTGTTTTCTTCTCCTAAAAAATTGGTGCGTCTTATGGAAAGGTGCGTCTTATGGGGCGAAAAATACGGTGTGTTTGTCGTCCTTCCATTACTGCCTTCCTCTGCTTGTTTCCTAGGTCAGGGAAATGACCCGCCGGAAGTGGTTACAAAATATGGACCCGTCCGTGGGAAGGTGGCCAATGTGAGTGGCACTGATCAGCCCGTGAACGTCTTTCTGGGGATCCCTTTTGCCAAACCGCCGGTCGGAGCCCTCCGATTCTCGCCGCCACAACCCCCTGAGCCCTGGAGTCACGTGAGAGAGTCCACCACGCACCCTCCTATGTAAGAGTGTTGCTCTGGCCGTTCGGCCACCTCCCTTGGCGTCAGGGGCATCTGGTTAACCGTCAGCGTCAGCAACATGGCTTGGAGACCCAACTCAAATTCCTAGAAGCCCACGGGAGCCTCTTGGGGCGGAAATCCCAGTTCACGCCTCATTGGGATGGGAAAATAAGCACGAGGCTCCACGTGTCTGTTGGTGCAAACACTCCCGCCAGATTGGAACACAATGGACCCTAAATGAGATAACTGAGCCATGCACATCGGTACAGATGCAGCCGTCTCACTGCAAGACAAGGAGTCACATTTTCACACCTTTTCTATGTTTCCGGTACCAGCATTCTGGTTCCACATTAAAATTTCATGTGTGGATTTGCAAGGAAACAATCGTAGCCCTTTTTCAGAGCCCAGACGGTTCAATATTGAGGAAAACAGGAAGGACTGGCAGGGTGGAGGGTGGTGGAGAGGAGGGGGTGGCGGAGTCAGGGCAGAAAGGTGTGGCTGCCGCAGGTGAGCTGCAGGGAGCAGGTGAGAGGACCTCAGACCTACCTCTATGCTGATTCACCTTTGGCTGGGCCAGGAGGAGATGCAGCAGGATTTGTCCTGTCCTGCCCTGTTTGTTTATTTTTTTTAAAGGGACTTGTGCTTGAATAAAGTGTTGTGATCCTCTCCATGTCTAGAAACGAGGCTGTCACTTTGACCGACTTTGATGGGAGTGGGTTTAGCACCCCAGATGCCTGGAATGTGGACCATCAAATATGAGCAGCAGACCGTTGGAGGGAGCAGTTCCCCTCTCAGGGATGAGACAGAGGGGGGACAAGAAGTTCAGAACGGTTGCTGTTCTGAGCTGAGGAGGCTCTACAGGCAGATTTGGGCAAAGTAGGACATGGGTGCAGATGTTGGGTGGGGGGCTGGAAAGAGAAACGCCGGTGGGGTCATCACCCTGAGGCTGTGGGGCTAGGGCAGAGGGGTCTCCTCGCGAGAGAAAGACGGAGTCCTTGCAGAGGAGGTTCACCGGCCACCCTTTGTGGCTTCTTCCATGTCAGAGGAGACCCACAGCTGCTGCCCTTGTGCTGCATAAACGGACTCATGATTTGGATCTGTTTTTTTTTTTCCGTCAAGGTGTTTGCAAAATGTGGAGACAGAACAAATCCTGTTAGAATCTATTACCAACACGAAGGAAAATGTCTCCGTGAGGATGTCTGAGGACTGCTTGTACTTAAACGTCTTTGCACCAGCCCCTTTGGATGACAAAGCCAAACTTCCAGTAAGCAGACTTACTTATTTGCCACGGGGGGGGGGCAGCACCCACATACGCATTTTTATCTTCTTATAGCTTCCTCCATCTTCTACGGGATCCCTCTGTGGCTGTTTCTGAGAGGAGAGTTCTCCTTGTTTCCACGTTCTGCAAACTTGCCACAGAAGGCCTTGAGGGGGTTGCGTGTTCTGCATCTCTTTGTCTCACAAGACATTCTGTCCCTTTTCTGGAAAAAAAACACCTCCTCCTTTCTCTCTGGCATCCCCTTAGGGATCTGGAAAGTCCCCACAAATTTCTTTTGTGGAACAGTCTCGGGTGTCAGACCTCTAGTTAGGTAACTGAATTGTTCTGGCTCATTCAACTAGATGCTAGAAGGCTACACATTGTACTGAATTAAGTTTAAAAAAACAGCGTTTGAAAGGTTTATACCCTGCTGTTTAGCTAGAATAGCTCTCAGAGCGGGCTATAAATATTTACAAGGAAGGCACTTCCTACCCTTAAGCCTGCAAGTTCAAAGCTGTGGGAAAAATAGAGATGGAGGAACTCGCTCTTAATTTTCTACATCACTTTGTGTTGATGTTTATGTTCCTCTCTTGTCTCTGTTAATCCTTGTTGCTCCTTGCAGGACCCAGCTTCAAAGGAACAAACAGGGATCATAAACCATGACTAGGTGTGACATCCAGCTGAACACCCCTGTCCCTTTATCTTAGATTCTCGCACAGATGCTTTACTATGTAATCTCTGTATTTTCACTCTTAACATCGGAAGAAGTGGACGGTCTTCCACGAAAGCTCACATTAAAACATAGCAGTTAGTCTTTAAGGTGCCACAACGTTTGGGTTTCTTTGTTTGTTTGTTTTGCTTTTGTTTTGGGGGTTTTCCACTGATACGAATGCTCTACGGATACGTAAAGCCAGAATAACGTTTGGGTTTCTTTGTTTGTTTGTTTTGGGTTTTTTTCGCTGATACGAATGCTCTACGGATCCGTAAAGCCAGAATCTCAGGCAAAAGAAACTAAACAGAACGGCCAGCCTTCCCGATCTTCAGCTGATCTTCCAGTTTCAGCAAAAGCTCAGCTTTCTTTGCCTGATCTTCTCTTAGCTGATCTCCCACCCAGGCAAGAAAGGGCAGGGCAGATCAATCTGGGCTCTTGACCCTGACTGGGAGATCAGCCCAGGAGGTGGGAAAAGGCAATCCAGCTGGGCCCGGTGAGTGGCTCTTTGATGCAGGGGAGGGGAGCAGCAGCCCCTGTGCTGCCACCTTTATGAACTGGGATGAACTGGTCCATGCCCATCTGCACGGCTGGCCTGTTGCCTGGGGATTACCAGGAAGGTAATGCTCCAGAGCTGAATGGGTCATTTTATCCAGCAGGAACAAGAACTCAGTGGTGCACAAACCCTCTCTCTGTCTCTCTTTTTGCTTTCAGGTGATGGTCTGGATCCATGGAGGAGGGTCATTTTATCCAGCAGGAACAAGAACTCAGCAGCGCACATATGAGCAGCAGGAAACCCTCTCTCTGTGTCTCTCTTTTTTGCTTTCAGGTGATGGTTTGGATCCATGGAGGAGGAATGGTTACGGGTGGAGCCTCCATGTTTGATGGGTCTGCCCTAGCTGCTTATGAAAAGGTGGTGGTGGTGATCATCCAGTACCGGCTCGGCATTTTCGGTTTTTACAGGTAGTGGGGGATTCTATCAAACTATTTCCTAATGGAGCCTCAAGCAGGCTTTAGGCAGGGAAGAAGGGGCAGCCCGGGTTTTCACTCAGTTTGAGGTGAGATCCTTAGTCTCTTGTGGATTTCCACGTAAAATCCTCCTTCAGTGAAAATGGGTCTCTGTAACTCCCAAGCTTCTTTCTGGGATAAACTAGGAAGCTTCTAGTTCATGAGATGTTATCCAGCTGTTTATTTATTTTACATTTATTATTTGACTTCTACCCCACCCCTCTAGACAGAGTCTACTTGGGGCAGCTTATGGTTGTTGGGTAGCCAATAAGCCACACACAATATCAAGGGCAGCTTCAGTCATTCCTCAGCTCACGTGATCTCTCCCATCTTTTGCCAACGATGCCCCTCTGCACAGGAGAAACAAGGCAGTCTGTACGAAAATGGGCCAAATGGTCACAAAGCGTTAGATGAATTTGCAGGGCCGGCCAAGAGATGAGGATCATCTCTCAGGTGGGGCTTTTCCATGTTCATCCTCCCCATGCCCAGGGCAGTCACGGGTACCCATCCAAAAAGGACAGTGAGGTCCAGCGGACGGAGCAGATGGTGTGAATTGGCTTCCTTAGGATGATCAGCAGAAAGTTCCTCCAACCTGCTTTTAAACGGATGCAGTGTGGCCATCCATCCTCGTGGGTGTTACTCAGCCTTCCGCTTCCCAAACTCTACGACCGGGACCCACGTTTTCTGTACTTCTTGTTCCTTCTAGTACCGGGGATGAACATTCACGTGGAAACTGGGGTTTGCTGGACCAAGTGGCGGCTCTCCGGTGGATCCAGGAGAACATTGCCTTCTTCGGAGGAGACCCCGGATCTGTGACACTTTTCGGAGAGTCGGCAGGAGGTGGCTGCATTTCTGCCCACGTATGTCCGTGATCTGTCTTCCTTCCTATCAGAAGCACCACAGTCCAGTTAACATAGCAGATAATTTTCACCTGATCATGGGCCGCACGGGAAAACCTTTCGGGTCGCTCATATCAGGCGGTGATTGATTTCCACTTCATTTCCAGGGTAATTAACATGCGTCTCATTTCACTGATGCTAGTCTTTACTATTCTTGTGTAGAATTCCTGGGCACCACTGTGGCAAATTCCTTAGCTAGCAAACAATAGGGCACAAGGTTTATTTGGATTATGTATCAGAAAACTAGCAATAGCTTTAAACAGCTCAGAGGCTGATTCGTTTTGAATTTTAAATGGTGGATTTTTACAAGCATCTGTAACTGAAACAGCAAAGCCTTTGTTTTGCTCAAAGATGGATCGTTGGGAAGAAAGTTCTGTTTGCTAAGTTCTGTTTGCATTTTGATGGTGAAAACGCAGCCCTGGTGGAATTAACTCTTATCATTTCCATTACAAGGCTGGATTGTTTGTTCAGTCCTGGACAAAGTCCCTCTGTGTTCTGTTGAGTTGTTCTGACGGGTCAAACTTTATAGCCAAGTGAATTAAATTAAAAAGCTTAGAGCCATTCTCAGACCCCTAACTGAAGACTCTTTTGGTGCAGGCTAATATGGTCTAAAGAGGGTCACTTGAGGTTGTGGAGGGGGGGGGAACAATATGCCATTTCGACCTCAAACAACCCTAGCTCTGGTATCATGAAGTGACCTAATAAAACAAACCAGAGGGGGCTGGGAAGTGTCATTATTATTATTTTCCTGTGCTAAATCATCACTGATGCGCTAAATCACTTAGATTAATTTTTTAAAAAATTCTTTGACTTATGTGTATTGCCATGATGAGCAACAGATCCCGAGGGGGGGGGGAAGCTTTCTCTGACGTTGCTGCTTGTTGTCTCCTTCTTAAGATCTTGTCCCCAGCTTCGAAGGGCTTGTTCCATAAGGCCATCTCTCAAAGTGGCGTCGCTCTCTTCAGCCTTTTCTTCAATGCCCACCCAGAACGGTATGCAAGGGTACGTTTCATTGTTCTTATTGTTTGTTTATTTTATTTCTTACATTTATGTCCCACCCCATTAGCCCATACCCACTACTCAGGGCAGTTAAGAATTGTGCGAAGAAATGTGTTCGCCCCTTTTGGGAGACCCATTAGGGGAGAGTAGCCTTTTTGACCTTCCTGTTCAGGGCACAGTACATATCCTGGGAATTCTGAGCTTTGTAGTCCAGCATGCCTCAAGTTGTCTTCATAGTGTCTCCTCCCTTGTTCCCAGGAGCAGCATGTTGTAGTTTTCCTTCCGGTCCCCGTGCGGCCCCAATCCTGGCCTTGCCCGATTGCTCTCCCTCAACTCCTGCACCTCCTTCCATTCACTGGCCATCCCAGGGCATCATGATCCCACATTTTCAGAGGTTTGGGTCTTCCCGTGGCAGAGAGGAAGGAGGCTCGTTTACTCTGCAAGGGCTGATCCGTTTCTCCTGATTCCAGAGCGTGGCTGAGGCTGCCGGCTGTCCGGCTTCCAGTTCATCGGAGATGGTCCGTTGTCTCAGGGGGAAGACCGAGAAAGAGCTCTTAGAGGCCCATTCCAAGGCGGTAAGCGTGCGGGGATCCGATTCCAGTCACTGCTCAGGGAGGAGCTGAGCTAACCATGAGATGGGAAGAAGGTTAGATACTGTTAGTGCCGTCCCTCAATAAGCAAGCATGCGGAGACATGGCACCCCTCTCTTTTGCAGCCTAGCGGGGTTGTTCACCTGCCTTAGTTAAAGGACAGAAAAGACTGAAAGTTTACATCTAAACACTGAGCTCAATCTCTCTCTCCCTTCCTTCCTCCCTCTTTCCCCTCCAGTACTCTACGTTTTCCTACTCCGTGCTTGATGGCGTATTTTTCCCCAAGAGTCCCGAGGCCCTGCTGGAAGAAAAAAACTTCGAGAACGTTCCCTATATCATCGGCATCAATAATCATGAATCGGGATGGCGTATTCCTATCGTAAGACTTTTCTCGTGCTGCTTCAAACATTCGGGCTTCCCACAATGCAGGATTGACAGTTGTGCTTCGTCTGCAGGCACTGAAAGTTCCAGGTTACGTGGAGGGCATGGACATGGAGACGGCAAACCGCGTGCTGTCTGGCTGGGAGCAATTTACAGTAAGGCAAAGGTGTCCCTTCCTTGGTGTGGTTTAATTAAAGTTTGTATTCTTGGCATCGAGGATCTTATTGTGCCCTAGGTGAATTCTGAGTTTGCCGTTTTGAGCATTACCTAGTGGAGAGAGAATAAGAAACGAGCGGGATCTTTCTCCTGGATTAGAAGAGTTGCCGATTATTCCTGCTTCTCCGGCGCTTTGGGGTACTGGGCACCAGTGGAAGATGGGATGATGTTTATGGGATTTGGGAGACCTGCATCGCCCTGGCTGACTTTTAAAGTTGTTCCCTCTCTTACTCGCTGGCAACAGGACCCGTTGTCTCCAGAAGAGGAACTTGGAAGCAGCGTTTTACAATGGCCGGAGCCCTTCGAAGGGGTTGCTGCAGGCCTGCTTCTATCTGTGCTGTTTTTAGCTTTACGCGGCTGTCTTTTAATAATGGGATAAGCCGCTATGGGTCCCTTTTTAAAGGGGAAAGGCAGGGTACAAATATTTTACATCAATAAATTGTCTGCTTGGACCCATTGCTTCCTTTTTTAAAAAGATGGCTGGAAGGAACATCTTTAATCAGGACATCTAAAGCACTTTCTGGCCTTGCAGGGTGTTGCTCCTGACGACGTTCACCTCCTTGCCGAGGGATATCTGAAAAATGCCAGTGATCCTCGACAGATCAGAGACCAGCTCCTGGAATTACTGGGGGACGTGTCGTTTTTGGTTCCTGCCATTAGGACAGCTAGAGCCCACCGAGGTGAGTTATGGGTTATGGGGACATTGCCCCCCCTCCCATGACCAAGGGCCTAGAGCATCTGTCCAGATGTTCAAAGAACTGGTGGTGGTTTGATTTGCATCCCAAGTCTGGCTAAAATGGCCGTCAGACGTGCTCCCAAAACCAGCTCCTTTCTGTCCTGTCCCCCAAGTGTTCTTATCATTTCTAAGTTCCCTTTCCTCTTGTTACGAGTGACTTCCAGAGGGTTTAAGAATGGCCCAACCTAACTATCTTTCCAGACGCCGGCTGCCCAGTCTACTTTTATGAGTTCCAGCACCCTCCGAGCACCCTCGCGGGCCTCCGGCCAGACTTCGTCAAGGCGGATCACGGGGACGATGTTGGCTTTGTCTTTGGCAAGCCCTTCCTGGCAGGTGCGTTCCTCCTGCTTCCCAAAGCACTGTAGCAATGAATAAAATACTGCCTCGAAGGCGTCGGGAAAAGAGGAAGACAGAATGTGAGGCAGACGGACTCCGTAAAGGAAGCCACCGCCTTTCGTCTGCAAGACCAGAGCAGGGCTGTTAAATTACAGGACTTTCTGGAAGGCCTTAATTAGGTCAGGAACTGTTTGACAGCATTTAACAACCCAATATTTCAGCATTTGAAAACAATGAGCATTTTCACTGTAGCCACTCATCCTGCCTAATGTTCTCTCTTTATGGTCTTTTGAATGTCGTGTCTCGCTTGTAGACGAAGGGACCGAAGAAGAGAAAAGGCTGAGCAAGACGGTTATGAAATACTGGGCGAATTTCGCTCGTAACGGGTGAGTGAGAGAAAACCTTTTTTATTTATGTCGAGGGAAAGCTGCCCGAGGTGAAAATTTCCCCCCATTTCACTGTTTCCAGGAACCCCAATGGTGTCGGGCTGGTGGAGTGGCCCCCGTACGACGAAAATGAGCAATATCTGGAAATAGATGTAAAGCAGAAGGTGGGCAAGAAACTGAAGGAGGAATATGTCAACTTCTGGACCAAGACACTGCCTGAAAAGCTAGCGGAAAGCCAAAGAACACACGCAGAGTTTTGACCGGCCAGCTCCCAAGCCCTCGGTTGGCCAGGATTTTGTGTAAATGGCGGGTCCTTAGCCGAGAGCTAGCTGGGTGGAGAGTTGTGAATTAATCCCCTTGTTAATTAATCCTAGATGTGTTGAATGTGGGGGGAAAGGCCAGGTTCTTATGGGTCCTTCTGCTTCCCCTCTCGTTTCCCCCCTTTGCAACAGCTAAATGAAATCTATAGTCACTTGAAGAGGAACAGGACCTTCTGAATAATCTCTTTTTCATTATCTGGGTGGAAACTTTAAACGAGATCACTGTGTCTTGTCCCTTACTTGTATATTTTGTAAAGCTACGCATTTCTGCTCTATCTTTAATTAACATAAATCAGTGCCACCATTTTTCTGCCGCCCCTTTTGTGTGATCTGTTCAGGGAGGTGGAGGTTAGCCATCGGGCACAACAAGAAATACCCAATTTCGCCCCACCGGCTGATGAAGAGCCGGGATCTGGGATTTTATTTTGTTTCCTTGCGGTAAAGATGGGAATCAGAAGGAAAAGAGGAATTTGACTTGAATCAGGAACAACGTGAAGTTAATTTTCATTTCCTTAAAACCAGCATTATGATCTTCTCCAAAGATCCGGAAACCCCCCGGAAAATCTGCTAGGGAAATAATTCTCTCTGCTATAAAAATAAGAGCCCTTTTCTAAAGTGTTGATACATCACCAGACCGGAAAGGGAGAGGTTTTTTTTGGAAATGACGGAAGTTTACTAACGAGCGGGGAGGCAGAACTGGGGGGACCGAGGGGCGCGTCCGCTAGTCTTTGGCCGCAGCCCTTTGCAGCCGCGTCTCGTCGGAGTATTCCACGGGCTCGTCCCCGGTCTCGTTGAGGAGGATGGTTCGCATCATGGCCTCCGTCACGGCATACGGGTCGCAGTTGGCTGACGGGCGGCGGTCTTCGAAGTAGCCGCAGCCGTCCTGCCCGACTTGGCGGGGGATCCGGATGCTGGCGCCCCGGTTGGCCACGCCTGCCGAAAACTCGTTGATGCTGGAGGTCTCGTGCTGGCCCGTCAGCCGCCGGGAGTTGTCCTGCCCTCCCCGTGGGTCGTACATCCGGATGTGGTACTGGTGCCTCTTGCTTAGTTTCTCAATGGCTGCCTCGATGAACCTGAACGGGGCAGAAAATGAATGGTGGTATCCTTTTGAAGCACATTTCGCTTCCAGGCTTACCAGCAACAGGCTGTCGAATTTTGAGCAGCTGGACCACTCCAAGCACATGATGGGGAGCGGGTCTTTTGTAAAGCATACGCCTCTTAATGCTCCGCCCCAAAGCAAAGGGCCCTCCAATCCTTGTCTAAGTAAACCAAGGCTGTTATACTTTGGACAGATTGTAAAAAAGAAAAGACCAGAACGGCATTTTCGGAGATCACTCGTTCCTAGCGTCCTCACAAGTCAGAGACGACAGTGATGGCGCACAGCGACACAAAATAAATTTGAGGAGTTGTTGCCAACTGCAACCAGCAAAAAAATAAACCATCAGGTCTTGCTCTCTGGTCCACCCACCACCCGTCCGCGGTCCCTCCCCCGGAGAACCCAGCCAAGGACAAGAGGGATTTCCCACCCCCACCCCTGGGATTCCCCCCTACACTCACTTGATCCCTCCTTTCTGTCTCGTCTCGTTGGTGCTGACGTTGGTGTGGCATCCGGCGCCGTTCCAGTTCCCCGTCATGGGCTTGGGGTCCAAGGTGGCCACGATCCCAAAGTCTTCGCAGACCCGGTGGAGGATGTACCGCGCCATCCACAGGTGGTCTCCCATCTCGATCCCTTCGCAAGGACCCACCTGGAATTCCCACTATAGGGAGAAAGGAGACAAAGCGGGGGGGAGGTAGCGCTGAAATATGTTCATGGAGCTGGTTGGTGCTGGGTTTTTTGGAAGGAATGGGAGGAGGCCTCCAGTTGTCTGTCGCTTGGGAAATAAATACCTGCGAAGGCATAACCTCGGCGTTGGTGCCACTGATCTCGACCCCAGCGTAAAGGCAGGCTTTGTAGTGAGCCTCCACGATGTCCCGGCCGTAGACTTTGTTTGCTCCGACCCCACAGTAATAGGGTCCTAGGAAAGAAATCATAACATCGGTCCGTTGCCCCATCGCATCCGATCTGGCTTCCCCTTGTAGCGTTAATTCCCACCTTCGTTTTGCTCCCAGTTTAGATTCACTCCTCACAGGAACTAGGGACTGCTGTCATGAGCTTTCCTCGTTGTATTACAAAATACTCAGGACGGTCTTGAACAGGCAATTAAGAGCCGTTAGCTTTACAAAAGTCCTGCTCTTGTCAGAACACCGCTAAAAGCAAGTGGGTGATGGAGATCAACCCAGCGGCCTGCTTTTAGACTCTCGGGGGAGAAAAGCATGCTTCCTCTTGTTGCAATTTCCAGAGGCGCGATTCCTTGCCAGCTACCACGGATGATCAGAAAGACGAAGAAATGGGTTCTGGACGAAATCAAACTTGAATTCTCATGAGAAGGTAAGTGGACGATCTGGGGGGGAATTTGAAGCTATTCTTCTCTGCGAGTCTCTATTTCTACTGCAATGCACCACGAACATCACCAGAAATGCAAAACTCAGCAACCGCTCTCACCTTGTGGGCCCGGAAACCCGTTTTCCGGCCAGCCGTAGGGGTGCCCGTCAATCCCTAACAAGGTGTATTCCTGCTCCATGCCGAACCACGGATGGCTGTTCTTCACCATGTCCATTACCTTTTTGCAGCTGTTCCTCAAGTTGGTCTCTGCGAGAAATAAAGAGGTCGCGGCATCACCACTGTGTCTGTGCAAGCGTTACCCTTTCATGAGCAGCGAGGATTTCTTCCTTGCTTACGGACGTGCAGAATTCGGCCTCGTGGCCTAACAGCCGCAACGGGGACGATCTCCGTCCTTCGACAGGGCGGAACGGCAGCCTCGAGGAGCTGCTGAGCCTCTCGCCCTGTGACCCCAGGGTAGAAAAGATCTACGGACTGGTACCAAACTGGGTTTCCAAAAAAATGTATTCCTTTTCTAGGCACAACTCAAAGCGCTGGTTTTGATCTGTAAGGCTTGGGTTCAAGCTATCTAAAAGACGGCATCTCCCTCTATGAGCCTGCCCGGCCGTTAAGATCCTAAGGGGAGGCATTTTTCTCGGTCCTACCACCCTCACAGATCCATCAGAGAGGGGCCTTCTCGGTGGCTGCTCCCAGCCTCTGGAACTCCCTGCCACTGGAGGTCAGCCCGGCCCCATCTTTCCTATCCTTCTACAAACCTTTCACTTCAGGCTGGCTTTTCCTTAGTGATGGGCTGCCTGGGAGTTTTATTTTTAAAAAACTAAATTGTTACACCGTGTTGTTTTTAAATATGTACTTAGCATTGATGTTCTTTACCATTTAAAAAAAAAACCATAATATTTGTTTAATTCTTTTTAAATATTTGTATCTTTACTGTTTTGAGCTTTTTATAAAAAACAAATAAATATTATTTTTTTAAAAAAATGGTAAAGAACATCAAAACTCAACACTTTTTAATGACATGAGCCTCCCAGCGTCCTTTCCAAGGGGAAAGGGAGGGTGTAAAAATATTTTAAATAAATAAACAAACCCAATGTTGCACAACTGGTGCGCACGATCACGTGGGCTGCCTGTGGCGAGTTTGGGATGTACCCAGAACTCAGATGCACAACGAGGCGCATGACAGCCAGCCCAGAAAACCACCCAAACCACCTTCGTCATTTCCGTTACGCATGCAATATTTAGGGAGAGGATTCGGGCCAGCAGGATTTATCTTAAGTGCTGACTTCCTATCTGGAAATGAAGTCATTCGGTTGATGATGATGATGATGATGATGATGATGATGATGATGACGACCTCAACTCACTAGCAATCTTAGGTCGGCTGCATGCCTTTTTTAGCCTGACCAGTAGGATGGTCGTGAACATAAAAACAGAGGGAAATGGCACAAATCACTAGGATTTTTAAAAATGCAATTAATATATTGCATCCATTTGATGGTCGTATAAAAACCCTCAACGGGTGCCACGAAGGCTTGTTGAAAAGCCATCCGTGGCTAGCAAGTTCTTCCACTTATTTTGATTAACAGTGATTTGGGGCAAAAAGTGTGGAAATTATTTTCGGGAAGACAATTCGCATGCATGATTTGGGGAGAGGGCGAGAGAGACATCAAGAAAAGGGGGAGCCGCGGATGGAGGAAAGACAGAGGGCGGAGAACTCACCTGCCTTTGTCCGGTTATATTTCAGCACCTCGCACAGCACAAGCTTGTTGGGGTCCAGGCAGAACGGGTCCCGGAAGATCCTCACCGGGATCAAGAACATGTCGCTGTTAGAGCCTTCAGACTGCCCGGTACTAGATCCATCGAAGTTCCATTCGGGGAGATCTGTACCAAAAAAAAATTTTTTTTTTAAGTTTGATCTGCTAAGAAGCCCAGGTATGTGAAGTCTAGGACTACGGCTCCCATAATCCACCAATCAGGTGGTTGGGGGACTCTGGGATTCTGAGTCAAAACAGTCACTGCCTGAAGCAGAGCATCGGTGCAGATTTTGGGAGAGGCATTGGGAGAGGTAGTGTGTTGGCAATGGACAGAAACACACACACACACACACACACACACACACTCTCCCAGGACACAAATGTGTGCACAATCCACACCACATACTTTGCCTTCAATCCCTGGCATTTCCACATGGGGTTAAGGAGGGTGGGGAAAAAAAACCCATCTCCGAAACCCTGCATCTACATTTCAGTTAGGATTATAATTGCTCAATTGTGTTTACCTAAATCTGGCAAGATTTAATCAGATTCTCACATCCTGGGGACATTTAAAAAGGGCCTTGTTGACACACAGGCGTAGCAAAAGGAACTCCAGCCAGCTGGCCCCGATTCCTCCACCCCTCGTGGTTAGATTTATGCACAGGCAGCTTAATGCTCCTGGAACGTTTTTGCATAACAAGGGGGCACCATCCACCCCGTTTTCACGTAAAAGGAATTAAGAACCAACCGGGCCAGCTTCCAAAGGAAGTAAAAAATTAAAGGGTGTGTATGTGCGAGAGACAAAACCAAGCTCAGATGCCTGGATAATTATAGTGGTGCCTCGCTTAATGATTGCCTTGCTTAACGAGGAAATTGCTGTACGATTAGGTTTTTACGATCATAAAACGATGATTTAAATGGGTTTTTTTTGTTTAACGATGATCGGTTCCCTGCCTCAGGAACCAATTTTCACTTTACAACGATCAACAAACAGCTGATCATCGGGTTTCAACATGTTTTTCTTTTTAAATTTCATTTGACAGTGTTTTCGCTCTACAGCGATTTTGCTGGAACAGATTAACATCATCAAGCGAGGCACTACTGTATCTCTCCTCCGCTGGAAAGACTGATCAAGTTTCTAGCTCTCAAGCTAGGATGGTTCCTTGGACGTAGCGTGTCAGTGATATAGCGCCGCCCGGGCAGACTGGAAATTGGGCAGGGCAGAAAAAAGGGGAAGCAATGCAAGGAAAGTTTATTGGAGATAAAACTAGACCAGCCCACGTCCAGCCTTACCTTCAATGCTTTTCGGTTCGAAGTCCAAGGTCCTGGTTTTACAACGGAGGCCTTCCCCAGTTCCGTCAATCCAAATGTAGGTTGCCAGCACCTTCTTCCCCTGAGGCAGCTTCATATACTGGTCCCTGACCCCCTTGTTTAGCTTCGAACTGTGTGACACAGACATGATGGCAAGCTGGGGAGAGAAAAGGTGGATCGGGTGAGACTCCCCACCAATCTTGAGCTGCTTTTTGGATCCAGCCTTTCCTCCACGAGGAGCTCCAGAGGATATACAAAACCCGCTCCTTATTTCGGAGGCGTCCAACAGACAGCGGATTGTGTACTTCAGCTTCTCAACCACCCTGCGAGGTAGGCCAAGCTAAAAGGGATTGTTTTAGTAAAAGCCGTTTGAAGCTTCTGGGTTTTAATCTGGGCTTTTTGGTATTGTCAAGATCGGTTCACGAGGGATTACTTGTTGTCTGCCTGTCGTTTTATCCGTTTGACCCGAACTCAGCTTTTTTCCCACCATCCGGGGGGCACCGGGACAGAAAATGCCACTATAACCACTACACCACACTGCAAACAACACCTTCTTTCGAAGAAAACGTTCCTTCTCCATGCAGGAGAAACGGGAAGATTGCATCTTTCAACAGGGGGTTTTGCTACTGAAAGATTTTTTAAAATTGCATTTATAAATAATACTTCAAAAAAACTTGCAGCCCGATTCATCTGACACAACGTTTTTTGGTAATTAAGGGCTTGGTGTTTTTTCTCCCTAAAGTGACTAATAATCTAAATGCGGGATGGATCCAAACCAACGCTCTGCTTATACGAAGACCCACGGAAATCATTTGGACTGGCTCACATGGGTCAAACCCACATATTTCAACGCCTCCGGCCTTCTGGGGCTCCGGTCTTCATCATCTTTTCATCCGGGCCGCGGATGATGGGATGGGGAGCCCAACCCCCACCCAGAGGAGCCAAGCTCCAGTTTTCTCCAGCTTTGATATAAATCATAAAGCCGCTTTCCCAGAGCAGGTAAGCTTGGTTAATGCAACCTGGTCTTGGAAAGGTGGCTCCATTACCAGCCAACCACCCTCCCCTGGGGCTCTCTGGGGAGTTTAATCCCATCACCGCCCTTGCATATAACAAGAGGCGGATAAAAGTTTACTTGAAAAGGGATCACACCCTTCTGCCCGCTGGAGACCATGATCGGATTAACGTCCCTCCAAGACACCAGGGTGGGGTTTCATGGACGGATCATCAACTATTTAGGGCTCTGCCCCGCCACCATTTATTTTCATCTCTGTATTCAAAATATCGTTTACCCTGCCTTTCTCCTTTCAAAAAGGACCCAAGCCGGCTCGCATCCCGCAATAGACAATATGGAAAGCAAACAACGATGAAGTGTAGAAAGATGGAAAAAAAGGATGAAACTAACCTAGGATCTAAGAAGCGGTCAACCAAAGCAACACCAGAGACACATTCAAAGCCCTTAAAAATAAACCACTTGGGCAAACGATGGATAAATCCCAGCCTTCCTCGGATACAGCCTCCGAGTCTGGACATGTTCCAGGCAGATTTTGGGGAGGAATTGCACAAGATGGGGTGGTGGAAGATCCAGAAAATTGCGGGGGCGGGCAGAGCTAAGCACCCCATCCCTCCCCACCAGCTTTCCTTACTCCGAAAGTAACAAAGAAATGGGCGAACGTAATACTGAAAGCAAAGATAATTGACATGCCAGCAGAGTTTGATCTGGACCGTCCTGAACTAGCCGGCCAAGCTGGTTGGGGGGATTCTGTATTTCGAAAAAAGGAACTTTTCCAAACATCTGCAGGCCCCCAGGTTAAGGCAGGAAAATAGCAACTGGCGATCTTCCTCTTAGCAGTTTTTCCTTTCTTCCGGAAGACGTATGGACCCTTAATACTGCATAATTATTTTTTTTTTGAATTTAGAAAGAAAAAGATCCTTTTTTTATTGTTTCCACTGTGAAAGTGTTTGTTCTGTGATTTGCACACTGGTTACTACTCTGCTTGGTTATCAGGAATGATGACACACCAAGAATATGATACATCTCTCAAAAATGGATCGCAGTTTATCGAACCCGATGCCTACCCATGGAACTACATCAGTCTTGCGAAACCTGGATTAGGATGATGGGAGCCATACAGAAAGGTATGGGGAAACTGCCTGGTAAGGGAAACTTGTGCTGGATTGTAACCGTACTCTGCACATGGACAGGAAACCAGCACCAATCTTTGGATACACACTTTTCCAAGTTAAGAATTGCTTGTCGCAAGCCCTTTTAACCAAGCATTTGGTATGCAACGGAAATAGTCAAATATAAAAATCTCTTAGAGGGATGAACGGGGGCACCCGCTGACCAGAAATATCGCTCGGCTGTTAAATACAACCTCAGCGCCCGAGACTCAGCAGAGATAAGGCCAGGAACCAGGAACTAAACTAACACGGGAAGGAAATGGAAAAACAAATAGAGAAAAAGCTGATTAAAAAAAAAAGAGGGTGTTTTAATTCCGTGTCAAGGTGAGCATCGGTCAAGAAGCTTTAAAAGCCAGCTCAAGCCATCCCTAAAGACACGAGGAAGTTTTAAAGTCCAACAGAATTCTTCCTCGGAGCTGTGAAAGGTTCCTCTTTTTTTTGGACTACAAAACCCTAAATCCCCACGGGCCAGCAAGCCTCATCAACACTTCCGCGCTCCGACTGGCCGGTAAGGGTTAAAGATGAGAAAATAAAAATAGAAATGTATTTCTATAAAAATAGAGAACCAAGTCATGATAATAATCCTGAGCTGAAGCCATCGGACCCAATAGGGGAGAGCCGGGATCTTTTCCTCCCAAGCTGGCCTACCTCGCAGGTTCGTTGTGTGGAGGAATGTACACTGCCTTCAATGCATAACCCCGACCCAAAGGCAAAGAGGGTGCAAATATAAGGGGACTGATCATCCATGTCTTTCCATCCCATATACATTAAAGAGTTTTTACATTAATCAGATGGGACATTGTTCAAAAGAAACATATAGAATTTGTATTTTGGGGGGCTTTTAAAAGATTAATGGTCTAAAGAACCCTGTCCCCCCCCCTTACTTATTTCACTGTTAAATTGGCTGTTTTAATTATTCCTTATAAGGTCATTACCCGAGTTAACTTCTGGATTCTCTCTGTTTAACCAAAAGGGATGGGCCCAACTTGGGAGATTTCCCGGTTAAGATTACAACACTGTTTGCAGAAGTGAAACTAAACACGGTAAAAAATAACAGGCAAATCCGACAGCATGTCAAAAGATTAAGGCGTCTGGTGGTTCAAAGAGACCTGTGAGGCTCTGAAGGCTGACACTTTTATTCCAGCATCCGTTTTTGGGGAGGAGCAGAAGTTTTCAACTTTTGCCCCGGACGCCCCCACAGAGCACTATCGTTGGGGATAAATTACAAATTGGGAGTGGGTAAAGAGAGAGAAACAGATAAGACAACGTGTGCCTCTGTCTCTTTCATCCCCTCTGTGTCTCCCTCTCTGACACACACAGGCCACTAAAAGGACACAGAACCCTTCGCCAGCCCAAACAACTGTGCCAGCTTTTGAGAACACAGATCTCCTTCGGCATATCCCGCAGCTGAAGAACTCTGAGAACCTCCAAAGCCTACCCATTTTCCCATCAGCCAAATAAAAGGCCTTTATAATAATAATAAATGTTTATTGTGGTCATTGACCAGCAAAAAATAAAAGGCCTTTTTGCAATACAAGGATGGTGTAACGGATTAAGTGTGCCGGACGATGACTCAGAAGGCCTGAATTCAAATCCCCACTTGCTTATGGAAACTCACGGGTGGGGTGGCAATGGGGAACCACTCTTTCCACATCTCCCATGCCTCCCAAACCCTACGTGGTGAGGTCTGGAACCGCCATCATCCTACGGATTTTGGAAAAGCACACACACACATATATATATGCAACAGACACACACAAATTAAAGTGTCCCACACACACACACACATATATATATATGCAACAGACACACACACACACAAATTAAAGTGTCGCGAAGTTTTGGAGCTGGTGAGGATGATCTGGAGAGAGCTAGCCGGCCTTCTGCTGCCCAAGCGTGCGTTCTCACGTGCATGAAGAACATGGAAGTCTTTCCCCCCCATTGTCACATCTGGCAAAGGGGCTGGGGGCGGGGCTTAGGATCCCCCCCCCCCGCGAGGCTCCCCCTTTGTCTCCAACTCCCAACGACAAGGAAGCGGCGCGTAAAGGCAGGCGGAAGATGTTGCGGGTCGAAGCGAAGTGTTGGGAACCACAGCCATGTCAAGGGCACTGCTCGGAAGGGGGCCGATCCTTCCCCACTCCTTCCCATGAAGCCATCGAAGGAGCCAAAATAAAAGAGCCGTGCCCAAGACTTTGATGGGGGGGCAGGAGAGCAAGGATCGGGGCCGCCAGAGAGAGAGAGAAGGAAAAAGCCGGCTGGGAAAAAAAAAGTCCTCCTCGCTTTGCCAAAAAATGGGAAAGGAATCCAGACCCGGATGATGATGATGGCTCGCTTCTATGGGTGGATCGTGTCCTCGCAAAGGGGAAGAGGGATCGGGCAAAAGGCCGCTAGCTTCTTTCCAACCCCCCCCCCAAAAAAGAAAGAAAGCCTCGCAAAGGGGAAGAGGGATCGGGCAAAAGGCCACTAGCTTCTTTCCAACCCCCCCCCCAAAAAAGAAAGGGGCGCACTTGGGCATCCGATCGCCCTATGCGCCTTTACGCACGCCGCCGGCAACTGCCTTTGGCGCGCCCGCGAAGGCTCCGATCCCGGGCGGGGGTTGACTCCGAATTAAGTTGAAACCCTTCCGATCCGGGCAAAGAGATCCGAAGCCGCCCGGCTGCCCGCTTACCTTGGGTGGCGGGCGCTGGGATGGAGCAGCGCGGCCGCTTTCTCTTGGTGTGGTTCGGCACCGGCCGCTTCCTCGGCTCCGCCGGGCGCTTTTATGGCCGGCCGTCCTCTTCTCTCCCCCCCCCTTTGCCTTCCCTCCCTCGCTGACCTGGAGGAGGAGGAGGAGTCGGGAGGAGGCCGGCCAGAGTCTGGAGGAGGCTAAAAGTTTGTTCAAGAAGGGAAGGGGATCGGGGGCTGCCCAGAAAGCCAGGTTTTAAAAATCTTCATAGCCTCCAAAAATTTGGGTTGGAGAGGCGACCAGTGGCATTTGGAAATGTGGGTTCCCTTTTAAGAGAGAACCCCCCCCCCTCAATAGCTGGTCGCCTGCATAGGAGTTCAACAATGCTGGCAGTGGAGTCTATCTATCAACACAGAAAAACGGGTCTTTTGTAAGGTTAATGGCTCTTAATGCCATATTCAAGACCAAACCAATGTTAGCTTGAAAGGGTATAGGATCCCTGGGAAAATCCATGTCTCTTCCGGATCCTCTGAGGATGGCATCTAAGATCATCGGAAACAGGGAAGGGAAGGGATGGTGTAGTATTTTTGGAAAGCCTCTAGGTTTTTGACCCACAATTCAAGGGGAAGGGAGAGGCATACAGTATACCCACAAAGGGATTGTAAGGCTCAACAGCAGCACCCCATTTGCAGATTGTTACAGCTGATCGTTCAAGGTAAGGAAAAGCCGCCCAGGAAGGAGAGAAAAACCCATTGGCTGGAGAAGTGGGGGGAGTTACCTACAGATAACATAGAGCCACAGGGTTTAGCGCTCCCATATGCAAAACGACAATCCTAATAGGGTTTTTGAGCTCTGCGAGATATCGACCGGGTGGTTTGACATCACTACCCCCACCAGTGGGTTTCTACAGCCGAGCGAGGATTTGAACCCGGGTCTCCTTGAGGGCTGGCCTGAGACTCTAATGTGCTGGCCTCTCACACGGGGCTTTATTGATAGGGAAACAATACACTTATCTATGTTTGTATCATTCGCACATTTCATTTCTAAGTCTTCATTCGCATGTTACGCTTAAACTTGGAAGTAAAAAGTGAGATACAGTAGAAGTATATGGATGAGCCGGTTGGAAGGGAAACGTGGATGTCTCGCCTCCGATCCTGACAATAACAGTTTAGAGGGAAGAAAGGACCATCGTTTCTGGGCATTCGTATCCCACACCCACCGCTCCCCCAATCGTACACCAAACCGAAATCCTGGCCTCTAACCTGTTCGGAGCTCAACAAGGGTGGAAAGTCAGTCAACCAGGATTATTGTTTTAATCAGCCTTCCTCATGGTGGTCGGGTGGTGTGGGGTGAAAGCTGACTAGAGAGGATGCTGACAGCAAGAGAGAAGAAAGGAATCATCCTGTGATGTCAACAATGGAGAACAATAGAGTCTAGAATCTCAGTGAGAAAGAGATGGTAAGGATCCGGTGTAGGCTGTACTGAGTTAAGAGGGCTTAAGAGAAAGGAACTTGCAACATGGCTACCATTTTATTTTAATTCAGACCTCATGAGGACTAGGATCTTATTTTCATGGAAAAGCAAAGAGCTTAGCAGTAAAGCGCAAGCAAAACGCAACCGTCCAGAAAACATCAGCCGGCCAGCATAGCATAATCTCAATGGGAAATAGATGGTAAAGATGGAAGTTAAAGCTCGAGGTGGCTATTAGTGTCAAAAAACAATGTTTTCTCTCCATCTTTGCTCCAGTGAGCTCAAGGTGGGGTGGATGTTCTCCCTTCCCCCTCTTTTATTAGCACACCAACCTTGCGAGGTCAAGCAGCCACAGAAAGAGAGAGAGAGAGTGTTGAACAAAGAGCTGTATGCAATTGGATATGGGGGGCCTTCTAAGTGCTGGAAGAGTGTGGATAGCTCAGTGGAGCCAAAGGATAGGAGTTTGAATTCCCCACTCTGGGCATCCAGGGAGAAGAGCCAGCCTGGGTGGCCCTGGGAAAGTTGTACAACTTTCAGGGTACTCCAGAAGAAGGGACTGGAGAACCGTTCTCCAGGGAGAAGGGCCAGCCTGGGTGGCCCTGGGAAAGAAGGGACTGGAGAACCGTCTCTACTTGGAAAACCCTGGAAAGGGTCACTAGAAGTTAGAATCGACTTGAGAGCACACGATTATTATTAGTAGATCTAAAGCAGAGACAAAGATGGGGGTTGACAGGCTCATTTTTCAGTAGGCCTGCAAGGATTTCTGACTTCTAATGGTTTTATACAATGAAATTTAAACCCCAATTGGTACCAAATGATCCAGACAAAATTTCGTGTCCCCAGGTGGAAGGGAAAAGACTGATTTCCATCCCGTTCTGGTACTCAAACTCCATTTTTGAGTTGAATGGATTGCAAAGAGAACAAACCTATCCGTTCTGAAGGAAATCCACCCTGAGTGCTCACTGGAAGGACAGATCCTGAAGCTGAGGCTCCAATACTTTGGCCATCTCATGGGAAGAGAAGACTCCTTGGAAAAGACCCTGATGTTGGGAAAGTGTGAAGGCAAGAGGAGAAGGGGACGACCGAGGACGAGATGGTTGGACAGGGTCATGGAAGCGACCAACATGAACTTGACCCAACTCCAGGAGGCAGTGGAAGACAGGAGGGCCTGGCGTGCTCTGGTCCATGGGGTCACGAAGAGTCGGACACGACTTAACAACAAAAAAACTCAGTGGTTGACGAAGAGTCGGACATGACTTAACAACAAAAAAACCTCAGTGGTTGAGGTTTCTGGCTATGGAGCCAGAGGTTAGGAGTTTGATTCTCCCACTGGGCCTCTTTGAGAGGGGCTGGACCCGATAATCCATAGGGTCCCTTCCAGCCCTGCAATTCTAAGATGGTTGTAATCATTATAAAGCTGTTCCCGTTTTATGGAAAACTTCTCTTAGACAGACCCGGGAAGCACCTCCATTAACAAACCTCCTCTATCACCTCCTATGTGTTGTTGTGTGTGCACATTCATCCAGACCTGATAAATTTTGTGGGTGTGTTTCCCCCCCCAAGAAAAAGAGGGATAATTTTTTTAAAATGCCCACCCAAGCAAAGGGAAAGTCCTTCAAAGGTACAGAGGAAAGAAGCTGTCTTAGCATGTGATCTGCTGCTCCCACCGCCAAACCCTCCTTTCCGTACAATGAGCGCTGTGCCACTCTGGTTAAGCCGGTACAACAAACATAGTTTAAAAGGAGACAGGGTTGCCTGGTGGCTGCAGGCGCTGGCTTCAAGGTCACGCAGAAGAACGCAGCAGGGGAGCCCGGAGCAAAAACAGCCGCTCTCCCTCCTTTGAGGGAAGGCTTGGCGAGATTTAATCTCAGGGCGTGGGAAGGGCCTTGTCAAAAACAGTTTTACCTTTTGGACAAGGCTCGATTCAACAACAGCGCACAACCTTTACGGGAGAAAAAAAAACTGCAGAATTATATAAGTGGGTGTGTTTTCTTCCGCCAACAACTCCGTTGATCGCGGCTGAAACTGGAGAAAGGGGGGGAATGGGGTTTATCTGGTGCTCAACAACTGGAGTAGTTTTTTTGTGCCAGCTGATCAAAATCATTCAGGAGGTGTTTTTTCTCTCGAGAGTAGAAGCCCCATGCTTTCATCATCTAAGGGAATTTCCTGAGCCAGGGTCCTGATCCTGTCATTTGTTACGGAACAAGAAGTTGTGACTCATGATGCCAAAGATTGGAGGTTCAATTCCCACCATCTCAGTTGTACCTGCAAAGCTACGGCTGGTCCTTGGACTACATTTCCCATTATCCCTCACCTTTGGCCAGGCCTGGTGGGGTTGACGGGACATGTCGACCCAAACCTCCCATGGGTCCATGGGGTCTCCCAAACCTGGTTTAGACAATACTGAGTTTAGATGGCTTAAGAGCGGGGAACCTGCGACGTGGCTAGCGGATTTATTTATTTTTTTCATTCGGACCTCATGAGGACTAGAAACTTGGATTATTTTCAGGGAGAAGCTAATAGCTGAGCAGGAACACACCAGCAAGAACCGACAATCTGGAAAACGTCTGCCAGCCAGCCTACAATATCAAACCAAAAGGATAAACGTTGGCCACTCCAGAAGGAAGGGGAGAGGGGAAGCTTTCAAATATATGGGAGTAATGCCCTCGCCACCCACCCACCCCTGAATCCACAAGGGTTCAGGGATCTCCAGCAGCCCGGTCTGCTCTTTACATCATACAGAGCTTAAAATCCTATACATTTGGCCGCATGTTTCCATAGATTTGTCCAGGTTTGTTTCCAGGTAAACATGCCTAAGGATTTAGCTGTCTTAACGTTCCCTTTGTGACTCTCTTCCCTAGAAGGTTATCATTCTCTGATCTTCTGTTTTATGATGTTTCTGCTGCTCCTTTTCCCCCACGGCCTCTCCTCTTTCCTGCCCTTTGGCTTGGCCCTAATCCCTTCAAAAGGTTATTTTTAGTGATTAAGGAGGAAGTCAGCAAAAGTTGTTTTCTGCCCTGCATAGAAGCACTTAAGGGCTTGGGTCACAAATAGTCAGAGGGGAGGGTTCAGGTCTTTACAAGTCAAATTATCTCATCTCCTAATTTCTGCCTTTGTATCTTTTATTTTTTTCTTCTCGCACGTCAAAGTCCATGACGCAGTTTGGTGTACTCTTCTTTGATAGCAAACCGAAAAGGATTAAGTTTAAAAAAAAAGCTAGAAAGTATGCAGAGCGGACTTAAATCAAAGGGATGCCTATGGGAGTAAATTAACACAAAATCAAATCGAATCAAATCTTCCCTCTCAACATTCAGAGAGAACTGCAGAACCGTATACCCTGGAGTTACAGCCAAGGAGGAAAATTTTTTTATCAGGTCGCCAACTTTATTTTTTGGCAGGGCTCCTGTGCTTCTAAGAAGCATGGACGCCATGGTCATCAAAAAGCCAGGCTCCGCTGCTCCCATTTTAAGGTGTCTGCATGCTAAGGAAAGCTTCACTGGATGAAATTTTTGTCAGCTTTTAATTTTTTTTTAAAGAAATGACACCACGCAGCCTGTTTCTAGGGTCTTTTCACAGCACAGACTGAGAAACCAGTAAAATAATATATAATAAAACACCTCACTATCCCTGGCCAGCTCA